AGAGATATCACTAGGAGGTGGGGTTGGAGGAGATTTAACCTTGGGATTTAAATTTTACCTTCTCACCTTTTGCCATAAGACAAATGTGAGGGGAGTAGTAGTCATCATCGGACATGTTGGTGGAGAGTTTTGGTGAAGAAGATGGCTCTTGGATAGCAATGGTTGCAACTTTCTCATCTTCTTCACTTGGGCTTTCTTTAGTTGAGTCCCATTCATGCCCAATGTGAGCCTCTCCCATGTACTTCTTGCTCTTTCTATGGTCGGCCTTCTCCTCTTTCTTGTCCTTCTTGTATTTGTTGTCCTTGATCTCATATGGACACTTGGCAATGAAGTGATCGGTGCTTCCACAATTGTAGCATGTCCTCTTTTTCTTGTTTGGGAAGCTTCTTTTTACTACCTTGTAGCCTTGCTTCTTTAACCCCTTGTGATACCTCCTCATAAAGAGAGCAACATCATCCACTTTCTCGTATTGGTCATCATCATGTTCACTCTCACTAGAGGATGAGATGGTCTCTACTCTTTCTTGAACTTGCTTGCTTGCTTTGGGCTTGCTAGTTGAAGCTTGCTTGCTTGACTTGTTGGCCTTGAGAGCTACATCCTTGTTGATCTTGATGCCTTCTAGCTTTGCTTGCAATTCTCCAAGCTTCTTCCTCTCATTTGCTTTCTCTTTGCATATCAAAGGTCAAGATCCTCTCAAGTACATCATTTGATGTGAAGTACTCAAACTTCTTCTTATCTCTAATTAGAGTGACTACGGTCTCATTCCTAGGTGAATAAGCTTCCAACATAATCTTGACAACTTTATGATCATCTAGCTCATCACAACCATAGCCTCTAATCTTGCCCACCATTGTCATCAACCTATCAAACATCTCTTGTGGCCCTTCTCCATCCAAGATAACAAATTGGTTGAGCTTGGACATCAACAAATCAATTCTTGCCTTTCTCACTTTGTCAACCCCTTCATGTGTAAGATGCAAAGTATCCCAAATTTACTTGGCAACATCCACACCAATCACTCTATTGTACTCATCACCATCCAAGGCACTAAGTAGTACACTAGTAGCTTGACCGTTGAGGTGGATGATTCTCATTTCTTCCAAGGTTGGATTCTTGGGATCAACCGGTGGCTCAAATCTATTGCAAACAACCTCCCAAATGCCGGGATGAAGACCTATAAGATAGGCTCTCATCAAGTGCTTCCACTTGGCAAAGTTAGTCCCATCAAAATGAGGTAACTTGCCTACGGGCACATTGATGAAAGACTTACGATCATAGTTAGTCATAGACATAGAAGAATAGTTAAAGGATACGACGGCATATTTGTTGTCGTCATTCTTCTTGTCCTTTCCTTTTCTTGTCCTTCTTACTATGCACTTGGTAGGACTCATCATCATCACCATCTTTAGAGCTGCTAGATAGCTCACTTGAAGATGCATTGGAGGCTTTTGCTTCTTGTTCCTTCTTCTTTCTTGTTTCTCTTCTTTTTCTTCTAGCTTCTCTCTTGAGTTTTTTTTCTTCTTTTCTTGCTTTTTTTCTTCTAACCGCTGCTGCTCCTTCTTCTTCTTCTTTCTTGCTTCTCTTTTCTCTTTTCTAGCTGCCCTTCTTCATCTTCTTTCTTCTTCATTTTGAGCTTGTTCGGCATCGGTTGCCTCTAGCTGTGGGAGCGTGGAGTTGCTCGTTGTAGAGGCGCAAAGCTCACTGCTATCGTTGTTATGCAGCCCAACATCCTCCGGATCGACGTTGATGGGCTTCACAACACTGGATCCTCCCCTGGGCTCCATACCTCACGCGGTGAAGCGCACACGAGGTAACCTGCTTTGATACCACTTGTAGGATCACTGGTACACCTAGAGGGGGGTGAATAGGCCTGTAAAAATTCAACTCAAACTGAGGTTCAATTCACCCGCGGCACTGCCGCTCTGTGAGCACGGCACGCCGCACCTGCAGGAGAAATTAGTTCACAGCTCAAAATCTATCCAACAAAATTTAGATCGGGTAGATTTCTTAGTTTTCTGCAGGGTAGTAGATCACAGATTGACAGCTGAAAGTGGTGGAAACACCACACACAAGTAGATCGGCCTCAAACTCTAGAAATCACCTCAACAACAACAAGAACACAAGTGAAGCAACACAAACACAAGATGACACAAGGATTTATCTCGTGGTTCAGCTCGCCACCAAGGCTTGCCTATGTCCACGTTGTTGAGGTATACCACTAAGGTTTAGGGATTTGCAACCCTACCTCGTTCTCAAGTCAAGAGAGTGAACTCTTGAGATGAGGGGTGATTTTACTTGCTGCAAGAGGTGGTTACAAACCTTCCGGGACTGCCACATAAGTTGGCAAGCTCACTGGGCGATGCTCTAGCCGGCTAGGAGCCAAGCTCCAAGAGTAACAAACACAACCGCCGGTTAAAACGTGAACAAAGTGCTCTTTAGAATTTAGGAATCAATGGAGTTGCTCTCTAATCAAGTTGTGAACCCTTTTCTCTCAAGGATTGATGGGGAAATCAATGGATTTGCTTGAGGGCTTTAGGTCAACAATAGAGTAAGAGAGAGAGAGAGAGCTCCTGCTCTGTTTTGGGCGTGCTCAAGTGAGAAAGAAGAGAACAAGGTTGGTTCAGTTACCATTGGGAAGGAAGAGGAAAGGTATATATACCCCCAACCCCCAACGGTCACTTTAAATCACAGATAGTCGTTGGGGGGGAAAAGGAAAGATATATATACCCCCAGCCCTCAACGGATACTACACCCAAGAGGTCGGGCGAGACGAGGCCACGACCAAAGGGTCGGGTGAGCCGGAGCCCGCGACCAATGAGTCAGACGAGACAGAGCCCATGACCAAAGGATCGGACGAGTCGAAGCTCGCGACCAAGGGGTCGGGCGAACCGGAGCCCGCGACCAAATGGTCGGACGAGTCGAAGCTCGCACCCAAGGGGTCGGGCGAGTCGGAGCTCGCATTCAAGGGGTCGGGCGAATCGGAGCTCGCACCACGCAAGACAGTAAGGGTAAAATTGAAGTGTAGACTGTCTTGGCTATGAATCTAAGGATGCTTGTGGTTATTTGAGCACTTGGTAGCACATATTAGCTTAAGCATTGTGTCCTCCTTTATAGTACGGCTTTTCCTATACTCAAATTTAAGATATAAAAGAATCTTAAATCTCTTTTGTGTTTGAAGCCATCTATATTTGTAATTGGGGACATCACATCCGTAGTCTTACATAAAACACCCTTGCAAAATTAGAAATTACACGTAACACCCAAAACACCAGAATGTTGTTCTCATTGTCGTCGCTTGAACTTTGTCCATCGGAAACGTCTGCCAAGATGAAGCCAAGATCCACCTTCTAGCCTCACAAAGGGCGCTGAACCTTGTATTTGTCGCAAGAGCGAGCACCTAGAAACTCCACCAGAATGCATCGATGATGCTAAACAAGCATCAGCCGCCGGCATGTGAGAAGAAAAGGAGAGGAAGAGCGATCCGCCAAAGCTGATCATAGGATTATTTGTTTGTTGCCAATACTGTCAGCAACACAAACAAGGAATCCCCCAAAAGGGATGCCGAAAGTGTCTACCCATTTGTAAAAATGATGGAAGGAAAGCCTTACTCTTCCCCAGTGATGGAGACGGAGCACCGCATGCCAAAGGACGCCCCGCAACCAACTATGCTAAAGTCCTCCCCACCCTCTAGCACCGAAGAGGACACAAAAAGGGGGGGGGGCGTCGAGATCGACACTAGAAAGCGACTCGCTCTCGGTTTGCCCTGGTCTATTGTAGCAAGGGGAAAACGAGTCGAGAAAAAGAGAATTGACCTACTCGAAGGTAAACATCTCTCCAACAACCTTCTAGTTTTAAAACCATTAGTATTTTTTTAATAAAACCATTAGTATTTTAGAGATTAAGAAACCCCATTTGAGATTTTTCTTTCTAAACTATGGTTTTGCATAGTATTTATTTTATAAACTATACTTTCTTACATCATAGTTTTTTATTAATACTGCAACTTGAAAGTGGCCTATATCTTACTCCCTCCATCCTAAATTATAAGTCATTCCAAGAATCTTGGAGAGTCAAATTTTTTCAAGTTTGACTAAAATTATAGAGAGAAATACAAAGATTGATGACATCAAATAGGTATAATATGAAAATATAACTAATGAAGATTCTAATGATACTTACTTGGTATGATAAATATTATTATTTTGTTATATAAATTTGGTCAAACTTGAAAAACTTTGACTCTCCAAGATTCTTGAAATGACTTACAATTTGGGATGGAGGGAGTATATTAAAATATTGTTTTACATGGACTGCTCCGGCAAATCCAAGCATTGTTTCTACTGATTTGGTTGCACCCAATGAACTTTAATTATCCAAATTAACTCTTACAACCTATACAGAAACCTGCCACCCCCAACTTGGCTCATTTTTCAAGATAACAAAACACAAGATCTCCTTAGAAAAAGATATTCATACAATACAATAAAGTTAATTGACTAATCTTTCTTTGTAAAAAGTTAATCACGACTCTGATTGGTTTACAGGAGTAAGAGCAAGACTAATAATACAGGCGGCAGGCCGACTGTAAGGATCTTTGCAACATTCTTTTAGCTTACCCATATAATAGTTAGCTTTTCAATATTAATACATGGTCCACTTATCTCTCTCACATAGTTTCTTAGTTCTTGTGTCTAAGCCGACTGTAAACTTACAGCCCGCTTCTTTTTTCTCTCCTCTCATCTGTCTTTGCATTCAGCCGGCTTTCAGGCTGCTATTATAATTGCTCTAATAATCGGTTAACCAAAACCCTTGAAGGCTGAAAGTGTAGTTTGATAAAACTCTGGATCCGTGCACCCACTCCAGGCGTCTCCGGTCCTGTCAATCCGTCAGTCTTACGACGCATTCGCCTTCGCGCTCACCCCAGCTCCAGTCCCTTCCCTCCAGAACCGAGATCCACCACCGCCCACCTCCACGGCTCGGCCGGCGCTCCGTCACTCGCGATGGCCGGCCGCCCGCGCCCGCAGACGGAGCTGCACTCGCCGTCCGCCTCCACGCGGCGGCGCGAGCGGTGGCTGGTCGTACTCGGCGTCGCGCTCCACGCCGTGTACATGCTCAGCATCTTCGACATCTACTTCAAGTCCCCCATCGTGCATGGCATGGATCCCGTGCCGCCCCGCCTCTCGGCGGCCCCCGCCAAGCGCCTCGTCCTCCTCGTCGGTGTGTGCCCTTGATCCTCCGATCCCGTCTCATTAAGCATCGGCTCGATGTTGGGTGTGTAATTTGTTTTTTTTTTTGCGCGTGAAGCGGACGGGCTCAGGGCGGACAAGTTCTTCGAGCCGGACGAGCGGGGGAGATACAGAGCGCCGTTCCTGCGCGGCGTGATCGAGGATAAGGGAAGGTGGGGAGTCAGCCACGCGCGCCCGCCCACCGAGTCTAGGCCCGGCCATGTCTCCCTCATCGCTGGCTTCTATGAGGACCCCAGTGCTGTCACCAAAGGTGCGCTGCCCCGGTGCTAGTTCTAGTGTACCACTGCAGACTGTTCGTGATTCAATTTGATGCAATGTTTTCACAAGTCTTTCAGTTTACTTTAATTTTCAAGTATGCTGCACTTTTAATGTCTAATTGCATTGCTTTGCCATTTTTAGTAGTTGTTGCTACTGGACTAGTATTAACGGTACTCGTACCCTCATGGTTGTTAACCAAAAAACATGTACTGAATTATAGTGCTTAGTGCCAGTATTTTGTAGCTGAGAGAAATGTGTATAACTGACATCCTGCACATGGTTAACATTGCTTAGTTAAATTAAACAGGTGTTATATGCTATGCCCTATAGTGAAATAGTGGGTATTGTATTTGGCAGGATGGAAGGCCAATCCAGTTGAGTTTGATTCTGTATTCAATCAGAGTCGGCACACTATCTCATTTGGAAGTCCAGATATTGTTCCTATATTCTGCAGCAACCTACCTCACAGTACCTGGGGCACTTATCCCCATGAATATGAAGACTTTGCAACAGGTCAGATTTATTGGCAGTACCTGTAGCCTCCTGAAGCTTAAGCCATTATTATGATATTCTATTTTTGTAACTGCCTTACCAGTACTGTCGTATTCATGGAATCACATTGTGCTTTTCTCGATGGACTAGATAACTTTGTGATTTCTCATACTGCACATCCTTTCTTCCTGAAATATTGATATTAGTCTAAAAGTTCATCTTGCAGAAGGATTATATATATAAATTATTTTTGAAATTATTTTCTTACTCTTGGTCTGAGGTTTTTTTTACCACAAATCACAACTACTATAATGAATTTTACAGATGTGCAGGTTAATTCGTAACTAATAAATCTGTTCTGAGGCAAATTGTATAAATAATTCTGTTTCCTCTTTAAATACATGAAGGATGTGCCCCTCTTCAAATAAAACATTATTGACTCAACACCACAGAGTCTAAATAATCATTCCTCTGCTTTTGCAATTAATTTTCCTTTTGGAATCATGTTTTTTACTTTGTCAGAGACCTTGATTGCAGATGCATCATTTCTGGATCATTGGTCATTTGACCAGTTTCAAGGTCTTATCAACAGGTCTTTTGACGATGTTAAATTGAGGCAGTTACTCCTACAAGATAAGTTGGTTATATTTCTGCACTTGCTGGGTTGTGATACCAATGGCCATGCACACCGACCCTATTCAAGCATCTATCTGAACAATGTCAAGGTTGTTGATCAAATAGCTGAAAGTATGTACAATCTCATGGAGAACTACTTCAATGATAATCAAACAGCATATGTGTTTACTGCAGATCATGGAATGAGTGACAAAGGTAAGTTACACACCAAATGGTTTCACAAATATATTTTTTGCTGCTCATGTTTATATAGTTTTTAGAGCTAGGTTCCTTGCCAGGATTCAGGATGTTGGAGGCAACTGACTGGTTATGTTTTTCTGGGAGAGTGTGGCATCTCTGCTGTCACCACCAGGAAACTGTAAACCTGAGGAACTTGAAACATTCAAATTTTAATTTGAAAGTTGGGAATTAAATTAGATTTGAATACTACCAGAGTACCATCCCCCATATCTGTCTTCCCACCTTGACAACGACGATCGTCAATGAGCGAAATGACCGGGTTGCAGTGGGGCATGAGGCCCCGTCAGTCTTAGCCCGGGTGGATGGATGAGCTAGCGCTTCGGTGTTCTGTCGCAAATCTTAGTACCATGTAATTCACTATAAGTATACGTCTGTACATCTGTATGTCTGCCTGGCCTGATTGTGTGTTCTCCACCTCTTTGGTAATTCCGGGTATCTTGCCCGTGGGCTGCCAAAGCGCTATGAAACTCTTCCCTCTTAATGAAACATGGTCATGGGCACGTTCACACACAAAAAAAATCTCTTCCCACCTTAGCAAAAATACAGAAAGGAAAATAAGACCATTCCATTGCAAATCTATGCATATAGATGTGGAAAGTATCCCCTAATCAGCGGCTGCCCAAAATGAATGGCTTATTGGTCGCAGTAATTCAATCTGGATTGCACATTAGTTGCATTACCTACCTACAAGGTTACTCATTTTATGCTCCATAGCGCCTAGGCAGCCACATTCTTTAGTTGTATTGACAAATTCAATCCTGACATGTAATGCTTTCTAGCACGCTAAATTTAGTTGCACACGTGCACTTTATGGTTTATGCAATGCTGTCTTGGGTCAATCACAAGGATGGGGGTCATTGACCCATTAGGCTATTACTAATTGCAAAGGCTTCATTTTTATTGGTTAACTTGTTAGTATATTATAGGTTAGTACTCTATATTACTCCTTTATTATGATGCCAAAATGCTAAAGCACTGCTACCTACAGGAAGCCATGGAGACGGACATCCTTCAAATACAGATACTCCTCTTGTAGCATGGGGTGCTGGAATTAGAAGCCCAAAGTTCCTGGATTATACAGAGAAACCTGATGATGGCTTTCGGTTTGTAGATGACCACAAACATGATACACCCACTCCAAAAGACTGGGCCCTTGAGGGCTTTGAAAGAGTAGATGTCAACCAGGCTGACATAGCTCCCCTAATGGTGGCTTGAAAATCTCCTTGTGCAACCATATATTCAGTTCTTCAGTTGCATTTAGTTTTCTTAAGTAAACCCTTTTTCTTTTCTCCATTCTTCACAACTTTTGCAGGCTACACTTGTGGGTTTGCCATGCCCGATGAATTCTGTGGGGAGCTTACCTACTCCTTATTTGAAACTAAGCAAGGTCAGATAATAACTGTACGCTATGCAAAAAATATATTGCGCTTGGCTCAACACTGCTTGTTAAAGTTTGTTCCCTATATTTATACAGGCTGATGAAGTTGAAGCTGTTCTGGCCAATACAAAGCAAATTCTTAACCAGTTTCTCCGAAAGTCACGTATCCTTTCAAAACAATTTTTGCTACATACTTGAACTTCAAAATTTTCCTACTCCATGCTTATAAGCTTGTGTGTGGTAGTGTGAATGGGTGCTAGAAGCATCATTGTTGATCTGTTATCGGAGTCACCCATAACAGTAGGCTACTCCATGCTGTTAGCTATGAATCTCATCGTGTCATTCAATTTCCTTTTTTTTCCTATGCAAATTTTATGATGACCAAGGCTACCAAATTAAACAATAAATCATACTGTTACTCCTAAGCATGTCTTCCCTTATCGATCTCAGAGCTGAAGGAATCCAGTTCACTCTACTTCAAACATTTTAAGCCACTGGCAAACTTTTCTTTAGTGCTCAGTCAGATTGAGGATCTTATATCTGGAAGGGACTATGAAACTGCCATGGAGCAATCTGAGGAGCTCCGAAGGCTGGCTCTTGCTGGTCTTCATTATTTCCAAACATATGATTGGTTCATGTTAATGACTACAATTACCCTTGGATATATTGGATGGATGGTGAACCTCATTATACATGTGTTACAGTCTTATACATCATTTCCTGCAATTCTTCTCAAGAGGGCTCAATTGTATCCTAAGAATACATCCATGAAAGTATGGTAGCTTTCCACTCTTTCCTTATTAAATTTATGTCTTTTTTTATGTTACAAAACATATGCTTCTGTTTTCGTTTTACTCAATCTAGATTGCAGCTAATATGTTTTTGTTCAAACTCATTATGTTTTTCTGTTTGCATTTTTCCCAGATTTTTTTTTTTTTTTTTTTTTTTTGCCTTTGCAGAACTGATACTGTAGAATGCAAAGGTTTGGTTCTGCATATAGAGCGTAGGCATTGGATAGAATTAGGGCCGCATACTATTCATTTTTGTGCAATCAAAGTTGCTCATCAAATTTGACAACTACATTAATTTCATGCTGATCTGCATGGTCACATAGTTAAGATGATTTGATTTTATCTCCTCTGGTTGCAGGTTTACATTGGTGGATGCCTCTTTATGGGTTTGTCATCCATTATACTACTTCTAGAGAAATCACCACTTCTGTACCATGCTTATGTATTTATGACAATATTCCTTTGGACAAGAATTGTACAAAACTTTGAATTTTTGAAGGCTGTATGGAGAGAACTAGCTAATATGCCCTTCAAGTACATTTTTAATCTCCTGACCAATTCAGTTGTTGCACTGCTTGTATTGGAGTTTCTGGTATGTACTCACTTGTTGACACATCAATCATTTTAAGACTTCATGAGATTTGATGTGAAATTTGATACTTGTGGGCAGGTTATGAGCTTCTTTGATAGGAAAATTTATACGTGGTGCTTCTTGGTCCTTGGGATACTCGGTTCAACTTATGTAGCCTTGTTTATTCAAGCTAGCCCTGCACTCGCAATATACATATGGCTTGCTTGCTGGTTCCTGTCTGTATTCACTTTGATGCCAGCTGAAATTCCAGAAAACAACAACTTGGTGTATGCTTCTTTCACTGACAGGATTCATGCATTTCCCCCCTTACATTTTATCCTGTGCCAGTAGAGAAGTAGCTGTTACATAATATAGTAATACCGTTTAATGCTGTTACGTGTCATTCATGATTTCTTAAGAAGCTGCTAGCCATCTAGATGTTGTCAAATATTGTTTAATTGGTTGTTTCCTTGCAGCTTTTAGTCTGATGAATTCTTTATATGCAGAATTTTTAGTGGAGGGCTCATAATACTTATTGGATTAGCTTCAAGATGGATTAAATCAAATAGTTCCAGCTTTTGGCTATATCTCACTCGAGCAAATAAACGGGATCCTCAATCCTTTAAACTGTATTTTGTTCAGGTGCAGAACTCAAATGGTTATATCCTGTGGTTGGCATTTCTTTCTTGGAAGTTCAAGTTTGAGACATTGTTTTCAACCGTTTATCATGTTTTAGGTAATTTTAGTTGCAATATCTTCTATAATGGTGTGGCTATCTACCTCACATCGGTCCCAGAACAGAGAATTGCACTCACTGCACCAGTTGATCAATTGGTCTGTAGCTGGTAAGTCACTCAAATTTGTTATTTGTGCTGTTAATTGTCTACAGTGTCATTGGATCTTCATTTTATGGTGATATCTGATTTGTTTACACATCGTGTCTTCTACTATAAAGCAACAGCTTACCAGTCTAAACCCTACAGGCCTACACACAGCTAGCTTTTGTATGTAGTATGTCTACGTACGCATGCTTACGTTTGCATCAATCTAAGGGTCTGGCGAAGCTTACTCGTCTTATAGTTTAGGTTCTTAATCTGTTTTCAGTTTTAACACTTCTTGTTTTATCTGGTTCAAAAATACATCTTGTCCAAGTGAGTTTTACAGACCCACTGGGCCAGAAGCTACTCAAGCCCAGACATTTACTTTTCTACTTAGAGGCCTCTGCGTCTTGGAGCAAATGTAGGATCTGCCCAAGGACTGATGGGCTTAGGTAAATATTTAATGCATTCCCCAAGGGGAGAGGTTATTTTTTTGGAGGGAAACTATGTGTTTTGCGACTTCGTGCTCCGTGGTTAGGACCTCTAAGGAGCACCAATGGTTGGACTTGAGTGTCAAGAATGACGCTGGGTCTTATTTGGCAATTTTTGAACTGTGGGCTTGATTTAATCCTTTACTTGGGCATAGAAAAAACACAATATTGAGTGGTAGCTCTTTCAAAAAGCAATATTGAGTGGCAGCAAATAAAATGAATAAAAAATGTTCAAGGTCCTTGAAATGCTTTTATTATATTCCTGATGGATCTTTCCCTTAGCATCCTTATGTACATTTTTAGCTGGAGCTCTGGTTCTTTGCCTTTGTTCTATAATGAAATATGTTGATAAAGGTTGGTTACAGTACTGAATACTGATAACCAGATTTTCTAAAACCAGCTCGGGTTCCACACAGCTGTTTTTCTGAAACCTTCTGAATGCTATCAATGGCCTGTAAAGTTGGCTGGCATTATTCTAATAAATGTATCCTCCACTGAATTATGAAAAGGATATAAAATAATAATTTTCCTATCCTACAATTCATAGCCTCTTTTTGGTTACTGTTTTTTTAATGGAAATGTAAAGTGAGTTGTACTGGCACACATTCAGAGAAATAACTGTGCAGAGAAAAGATGCGAAATGGAAAATTGGTCCCCGCTTCTGGCCTCTGGGGAATAACTGTAAGCCTATAACCCCAGGTGGAAACATTCTAAACTTTAACAGGTCTACATCATTTTGGGACTTTGTCCATTGGAAATCTTGTTGAGCCCTTTAAATATGGCACATTCTTTTTGAAGCCAAGCCTAGTGTTCATCCTGAACTTGTGAGCTTTTTGGTTCTACTCTTTTAATGTGTCATATATTTGGCAGGTGTTGCTATGGTGCTACCTCTTTTCTCACCACCTAGTGTTCTATCCCGTCTTACATCTATATTCTTGGGTTTTGCTCCTCCATTTCTGCTGCTTTCTATTGGGTATGCTGTTACCTTCTGGTGTAGTTTATACATCAATTTCTTTTTGCTGTGCCTGAGCTCTTAACATGAAAATGATTGTTCAAATTTTGTTAAATCTTCACAGCTATGAAGCAGTTTTCTATAGCGCTTTTGCAATGGTACTCATTGGATGGATATTTGTGGAATCTGCCAACCTGTATTGCTCAGAAGAAAGTGGTTCTGCACGTTGCAGAAGCCTTGCGGATGACTCAGTTTTTGGTTATGAAGAAAGACACCTACGACTATCTGATTTAAGAATCCCTCTGTTATTTGTAAGTCTGATAATTTCCATTTGTCTTATAGACTATAGAGGTGCGGAAGCTCTTGGATACGATGCATTATTTTTTATATGGCAGAGTAGGCATTAGATTGTATTCACTCTAGATAATCCTCTAGGATTAATTATGCAAAGATACTAAATCATTTGAAATAGGGATGACCAATGGAAGCTACTCCCTTCTATTCTGATTTCTGCAGAAGTTTTGTGGAATATGTGAAGTCGGACTCTGAGAACTTTGTGCACAAACGTATTTAGTTTGACAAGGAAATGATATTGGTATATTTATAAACAAAAAAAAAATGCTTCCATATGGTTGTACATTCAATAATTTTGGATAACATGGAACAAGAAACTACGATTAATGCATGTATTGGAGACTCTTCCCGTGCTGACATTTTTTTCTGTTCAGAATGTATTGCTATCTTCGTGCTTGCATTATATTCCATATTTCCACTATATGCATATATGTATTTTGTTTGTAAATATCCAATCATTTATTATCAATAGAAACTAAGAGCACTTCTGTTGTAGTTTTAGCAGAAAACATAATAGTGTAACTTATGGTATCTTTCTGTCTTGCAGGTGATCTTATTTAATGTTGCCTTCTTTGGTACTGGTAATTTTGCAAGTATTGCAAGCTTTGAGATCTCGTCTGTGTACAGGTTCATTACAGTATTTAGTGTAAGTTTATATGTTACATTTCTCTGAATGACCTTTTTTTACTTATTATTATTCTAGACACTAATGTTTTTCTCTTTTCTCTTGGCAGCCATTTCTTATGGCAGGACTTCTTATCTTTAAGTTGTTCATTCCGTTCATGCTTGTCATGTAAGTTTTTTTTTTAACCTTGCTAACCTTATTCTATGTGATGTCATGAAGTTAAAGTTAATGAAGATGTGCTAAACTCGATTTCAGTGTACAGCATTTTTTTTTTTTTTTTGCAATCCTATTCTTCAAAATATGATGCTTTAATGAAAGTTCTTGTCACAAATTAGGTCATCTTCTGCTATAGAAAGATAAAAATAGGCAACAATCCATTTATAATTTAATGTTCATTTTGATATCTATATAGACTATCTATATACTCTCCGCATATTTATCTGTTGAGCAACTTTAAGATTAATTTGGGAGTTCCTGCTTAGGGTAACAGGCTATAACAATTAAATGTAAAGAAGATGAGGTTTTCCCCCAAACATTAGGTCTTTGGACATTTTTCTATTACGCCTTAGCTTAATTATGTATTCTTTTAATTTGCACTGAACTTGATGCTACTTTTCATTAAGCTGACCTTGGTGACAACTGCAGATGTACGTTTAGTGCGATTACCAAGGTTGTCCGCATCCCACGGCTGGGCTGTTATTTTCTTGTAATACTGCTTTCAGATGTAATGACTATTCATTTCTTTTTCCTGGTATGTACACTCTTTCCCTTCTATAATTCATAACCTAATTTCATGCAGTTTACATTTAAGAAAAAAGACATGCTCTCCATGGCCTTGACCATATTTAGTTGCTATATAATGTTCTTTCAATTTTGTCCATTAGTGAGTAAATTTTGTTTGGTCTGTAATGTTCTGGACACCATAGTTTGCTATATGCTAACAGAGTAAAGTAGCAAACTAGCTGTGGACTCCTGTCCAGGAGCTCAAAGGCTCTCTCTGAGACTGCATCATTGGAAATTTGAAGCTGTAACTGCACCAAGTTGTTTTGTATTTCATTTTTCTGATGACTACATTAGCTGATTAGCCTTATGTATTCAATGTGAACTTCCTACTTCAACAAAAAATGATGTACTGAATATTCCTGTTCATTTTACCCACAGGTACGGAATACCGGTAGTTGGATGGAGATTGGCAACAGCATTAGCCATTTCGGAATAGTGAGCGCCCAAGTGGTCTTCGTTTTGCTGCTTTTTGCCCTCACAAATATATACACAAGAGATATTTTGGTCTCGTCTCGGCAACTAACCGCGCGGAAAGTTATGTAGATTGTTCAGTTTATTTAGAGATCAAAATACATCCATCTTTTTCTTTATTCATTTTTGGGTCGGCTTTCACTTTTGGCCCAAGTTTTGTAGCTTAGCTTTTGTAGTTTGTAGATGGACGGTGTCAAATTTTTGTGCTAATTTCATTTGCATACCTACTACAGCCTGAACAGATTTTACGTACATCATTATAACGATGTTAGTTCTTTTAGGAAGGGTAACTATTTTGAGTGATTATTACGCGAGGCAACAAAATCTCAGGGTTGAAGTTGATGAAGCAATCACTCGAGCTTAAAATTACACTGCACGCTCAACCAGCATCACAAACTCTGATACGCAGCTATACAAAGCTGTGACCACGGTGGACATCGGCGATGGTGAGGAGACCTCTTTTTGGTATGACGACGCCTGGCATAATGATGATGGCATGGCAGATCGGTTTCCAGCCCTGCACAGGGCGTTTTTTTCTTACAACAAATCAGCCAACAGTATTTTTCAGCTGAGCTTTTCAGCGAAGCGAACGGTAAGAAGAACAAACAGTACGCGAACAGGGCCTTGTAAGAAGAACAAACAGTACGGTGGCGCAGGTCTCTTTGCTTTTGGAGTGCAGGATACCCAGTTCGTGGTGCCCCGACTCACCTCAGGCGACTTCGGGACTGACGGAGCTGGGCAGCATCGTTCAGTCTACTGTCCTCTCGGTCACCACCAGGGACCGGCGCGGCGCCGTGGCGGCGTGGCCCCTTCTGCCTACCGGCAAGGAAAGTTTGAAGGCAAAGTATAGAAAAGCCACGTCCCTCCCCGGGTTCAGTTCTTTCTTTGGCTGCTGACACAGGAAAGGGTGCAATGCAGGGTCAATCTCCATAGAAAGATGATCGTGGATAGTCCGATTTGTGAGATCTGTCAACAACTGAATGAGACAGCAAGCCACATAGTTGCTGGGTGCCTTTTTGCTGAACTTTTCTGGTCTAAACTTGGGATCAGCATGCCAACGGACACTACAGCCGTTGCTGGATCTTTAGATACTTTGATCTGTCCACCACACATCTCGGGTAAGCATTTCAGAACCTTTGTTGCCCTTTGCTGTTGGCAACTATGGAAGCGAAGGAACGACGTAATTTTCAGAGATGGTGCGGCTAGCCTCAGACGCACAATGGTAGTTTGCAACGCGGAAGCAAAGCTCTGGGCACAACGATTGTCGAAGCGGGACAAGGGCACAGGACACGATTGGTCAGCAATGTATACATAGCAAATGTAATGTTTATCAGCTACTACTGATAGGTTCTCTCGAACCAAGATCAATGAAAGAATGACGGGTGGGGATTCACTAGGCCAGCCACAGCTGATAGGCCCCCGATCGCGATCGCAACGGCTCAGTCCAGCAAGCATGCGGTCCGCCCGTTCGTTATCATCTCCCACCACACCCTCGCGTTATCCAGCGCCCGCACCCTCTCCTCCGCCACGTCACGCCGCACGGCCACATGGCAGCGGCCCAGTGGCCGCTCACCCCCACACGGGATAAGGCGCCGTCTCCGTTCCGGAACGCAGCTTCATAACCATGCAGTGCAGGCCCGCCGCCAAAAGCTCTCCCACAAAGCGCGAGCAATCCACGTCCACACGCAGCACCACCACAACCACCACCGTCACCACCAGCAGCCCCAGCTAGCGCAAAGCGATGGCGTCGCTCACCATGATGGCGTCCTTCGCCGCCGTGGCGGTGGCCGCGCCCTCGCGCCGCGGCAGCTTCGCCGTGGTCAGGGCCGCCAAGGCCGACCGCTGCCAGCAGGAGCCCGCCAGCGCCAGGCTAGCGGCGGCGGCGGCCGAGGAGGCCGCCGAGGCCCGGCCCGCCGAGGGACGCCGCGCCGTCATGCTCGCGGCGGCTGCGGCGGCCGTGGCGGCCATCGGCGGCGCCGGCGCCGCCATGGCGGACCCCAAGAAAGGGAGCCCCGAGGCGAAGAAGAAGTACGCGCCCATCTGCGTCACCATGCCCACCGCCAAGATCTGCCACAACTGAGAGCACGCGCGCGCGCGCGTTGCACGCAGTTGCAGCAGGGCCGGGGATGGTATATAAGGTGTATGTGCACGGTGCTAAGTGCCTCTTGTTGATTCGAGCTTTAGATGCATGCCTGACGTGAGGCCGCTTATTGCTTGCTGACGATCTCGGAGCTGTGTAATATCAAGTGCAATGCAAATTGAATTGAATTCGGGTGAAACCGTGCTTATTTTATATCATAATTTGGTTCATGCATGCGTATTTGATCACGTACAAGAGCTATGTAATGCGTATGTGCTTATTTTACCAAGATTCAGGCTACCAGATGAAAATCTCGCAAAAGCGTTGCTGGGGAGACGAGAGCACGAGGCTATGCCTATGCATCGGTTGGCCCAATGGTAAATTGGACAGTCCGGGCCGCGAGTGAGCCACTCCACTCGATGCCAAGAGCCTAATAACACGAGTTCAAGTTGTATTGCTCCTATAATTTGGGCCCAGATCCAGTATTCCAGTTTGGATTTTGGAAGCCGTGCTTCACCATACACAGCTGGTTTATTTTTCGTTATACTCGACCTGGTCCCTAGTAGATGTACTCTTTATCGAGATTAGTTGGCCTCAAGAAGCCCACCCAAATATCCAAACCGACGAACCGCCTAAGTCCACATCAGCCCCACCTTGGCTAGAGCATATTTGGCGAATGATCATGGTCCACCGTGGATCCCAAACGATCCACCAAATGTGAGGGGTCACACACACCGCCCTAGCCCTACCAAAGAAGAGTAGGAGAAGGAGAGTGCCTTGCTGAAGCATAGCCAGAGGAGCACATTGTCCACCATGTTGTCCTTGCCAATGTTGATCCACAAACCCTCCCCAAGCTCTTCTTCTTCTTCCTCAAATTCATGGCGGTGCCCTAAAGAGGATCTCCCTCCTTGAGAAACCCCGTGCCAAGATAGCTGCTGCACCTAGAGCACGTCCTTGCACTGGTGAGTGGTCAGCCATCCACAACCCTTCTCCTCCTTGACTCCTCTCTACTGAGCCTCCCATGAGCCCTTTCCGATCCATGGCCCTCACCACCATGGTTGAATTCAAGCTCCCAAACCCTCATGGCTGCTGAAAACCCTAGTTTGGTTTTGGTAGTTGAGTAACAACTGTGGACTAAAGATTTTGCTTAAGTGTTGATTAAGCTAGGCATAGTCCACGCCAAGTGTTGAGCAAGAAAGCAGCCATGGAGGATATGGTGATGCCCATGAAGTGATCAAGTGCTCAACTTGGATGAAAAGGAGTTGGAGAACGAAACAAGACCAAAGGAAAAAGCATGCCTCATAGGGTTTTGTTTCTCCGGCCAAGGTGCAATAGAGTGCATGATCGGATTTAGAATAGATAGTTGTACTATTAAGAAGGGAACTCTAAAACAATTATGGTTATCTAATGCCACTAGGTGAGGACTAACATGGCATATCCATTAAACCTAGTGATGTTGTGAGGAAGCAAGTGAAATATTTGAAAAATTGTTTTGAAAATGCTAACTCAATTGCTTAAAGGTGTTTGTGTTCAATGGAATATACATATGAGAGTTAGCACATTTAAAAAGATGTTTGAGAGAAGGGCTTAGTGCAGGGTTTCTGCACCCACCGGATTTATCCAGGTCCCCTGGTAGGGAAGCATTGGAGCTTAGGCTTCATCCTCTGACCCTTGTTTGCACTGAATGTTGGATCACTATATTTATCCGGTGGTTCTTAAGCCTAAGCACCAGAGCTTAGGATCCATAGGAGGACACGTGGCGGCGATTGGCATGTGTACGGGAAGTTTAAAAGGACAAGCCCTTTCTCGGGTGGTCAGATATGGGGGACACCGAAGTACTCCGGTGCACTACAAGAATTCTATTGATCCATGACGGATCAATTTCGTCATAATATCCCAAAATCTATCATAAAAGGCCATTTGTGATGGATTTTTTAACTGTCATGTATCGAGCGTCATAGATTGACTATGAGCCATCCGTGATGATTTCAGACTATCATGGAACCCCTGGAAGTCCACTTAGCCAACTCTGGTGTCGAAAACCTTGTGTAGAAGGTTTCCAAACCCACCAGATTTCTCTGGTGGTACCCTTGGTGGTCACCGGAGGAAACGACTAGCAGAGTTTGTGCACAATGCGTGTTGGCTATAGGCAACCATCAGATTTCTCTGGCGGTTGTCTCAGTGGGTGCTAGAGAATGCATTACTTCATCGCCTGGTGGCAGTCTAAATATAGTTGTTGGATCCGACCATTATTCCTCTGGTGGTGACTTCTCCGGTGATCATCGACCGACTCATAGGCGAGCGCCCACATCGGGGCCAAGCTTAGGGCTTGTTTATCTTGCGAAGGAGTGTCAATCCTTAGACTCAACTCAACAAGGATGTATGTTGCCGGCAAGTAGATGAACCTTGGGGGAAATCATTGTCTCCATTGTCCCCTTTGGTTTGCTTACACTTGCTCTTTTACTTGTGCAATGCTTAGCTTGCTTGTGTAGTTGCTTAACTAGCTTTCTTGTTAGCCTTGTGGTTGCTATTGTTGCTATCTTGCTCCAGTAGTTGTTCTTAGTTCTAGTTGAGTAGCTTGTTTGCTCTACCTTGTTTGACGTGTAGTTGTTCTTGCAAGTAGTCGAGTAGCTCTCTAGTCCTCGCTCGACTAGTTGTTTAGCTCGTGCCTGTGCTCTTTGCCAGTAGTTGCTAGTGCTTAGTTTGTTGCTTTGGCGCTTTGTTAACTAGACTTGTGCAGGAGCACTTGCATTGGTTCTAGGCTAGGCGCATAATGCTTATTAAGGATTACATTTGTTACTAATCGTGTGCCTCGTTTTGTTTGTGCCTGCTCTGAAAGAAATTTTTATAGATTATTCACTCCCTCTATCCATCCTAAGGCCCTTCCAATAGTGAGGGCATATATGAGGACCCAACATAGGCTTACAAGTTTAAAGGGCACAACCTCACAAGTTCAAATAAAGGGCCCTGCCTTACATCTAGCCCCTTTACATGGCATATATACCTAACTTAGCTATTACAAACCAAACGATAGCTTATTACATCTCTTGCATCTTGGAGGCCTTTTTAGCCAGTGGCTCCTTTTCCACCACCACTTTATGATGCTGAATAACTACATCCTCATGGTCCTCAACAGGTCTATCCCGAGCCCTTCTATCCTTTTGAACATACTTCCACATCTCCTTCAAATACGCCTAGATAAAAAACGCGATGGGGGGGGGCGGGTGACGGCCCCACCCGTGTATTACTAAGAAGAAGCCACAGCTGCTTCCGGCCGTGGAAAAAACCTCGAGGGGGTTTTTATTTACCCCCAGCCTGAAATTCGCTCCCACTGGGATTCGAACTCAGGACCTGTGGGGTGCCGCTGGAAAGCTCTAACCGATTGAGCTAGAGTCCTTTGGCCAAATGGAAGAAGAAGCACCTCATCCTAGATAGCAAGGCAGGAGTTAGTATTGTCTAGTGCATATATGTAACTGTGACAGAACCGCCCAATTTATACAAGATCAAGTATGGTTGTCCCCGCTAACACGTTGACACACCCATACTTTCACTCATATAAACCCGGTAGTCCGCCGAGTGTCCCGAAAGACCTCGGTAAATCAACATCACAACCAAGATCGCTTGATTAAGCAAATACACATCACATACATCAGGTTGCAGCGGAAATAATATTACAAAGGGGTTAACAAATAATAGTACAAGTTTGGGTTTCAAAACCGCTTAGTGAAAACAACATAGCTTTCAAATGATTACATTAATATAAGTTCCAAATATATTGCTAGCATAGTGACATCATCCGACAAAAGCATATAGATGAGAAGTAAGTATAGAATCACCGAGCCCACCGGTGGTTAGCCACCATCATCAACAGGTCGAGAACATCACCTGCAACAAGGTGGGATAAACCCTGAGTACTCGAATGTACTCAGCCAGACTTACCCGTCGGAAACCAAAACAAATGACACCAAGGATCATGCAAGGCTTTCTTTAATGGGCTAGCTGACTTGTTTGCGAAAAGCATAAGCTATCATGAAGAAACCATTTTAAGTACTTTGCATTATCTTTATTATGGCCTATCCATCTAGGTAAGCACCTGTACTATAGCAATCACTTGATTAACCAATAACATCCAATTACCAATTTAGATTTAGCATATCCCATACCATCCAGATAACCATCATTGTTCCATAAGAATTACTACGATGAAGTAACTCGAGTCAAGTGCTCACTATCCAGGAGCAATGGCGATTCGAATCGATTCCTAACCAGCTGGTGATTTATTCCTTACACAAACCTCACTCACCCGCTAAAGTGAGATATTGATCACCGAGTCAACTTTTCGTATATCTCGAGTTTGCGGGAACCACATGTACCGGGGCCGACCGATTGCACTTTGGTCTTATCATCCCACCCGTGTCCTACCACACCTGCTCCCGCAGACGGTCTTGTGCATGGGCAATCTACTCGGCCGAAAATTCTCCCAGCTTCAGCGGTCGGAAGGTACTTTATCCGGCCGAGCTAAATGTAAGGCATCGTTCAACATGACTCGAGGGCCAACAACGGTCGGTCCTTAATCGACCTGACGCGGAAACTAACAAAGACCCCGTAACCACATGCAGTTTTGCCTCCAACTTTTCCGTCCGGTCTCCAATTATCCATCACACATGGTTAATTCCAGGATATCATTCTTTCCATAGCTAAATTCTTCCAGTAACCACCTATAAATGTAGGTGATCGGATATCACCGATCGCTACCGGTCTAAGCAAGGCTAAGAGCAATTATTCGATCTTGACCTAACAGGGTAAAAGGGTAATACGGTAGGCAAGGATAGTAATAAATGCATCAACGGTTTCAATCAACTCCTACAACTTAATGCAACAATATATAACTCATATATAGAAAGAATTGCTTTTATAAATTAGGAGACTTATAATGCTCCGGGGCTTGCCTGGGATCCGCCACAAGTCAGTTCAGTTAGCTTGCACCACCCTGGTGACAT